CCCCCCCCCCCCCCCTCCGCAGCTCTGAGGCTGTGACTGTGAGCGACTTCTTCAGCGGCGCGCACGGGCAGCTGGAGCTTCTGGCCCAGGCAACCCTGGGCCACGCCGCGTCCAGCGTGGGGACCCTGCATGCCCTGCGCCCACGGCTCAGCCGCTTCCACCAACTCCTGCTAGAGCCGCCTGAGGTGGGTGGGGCGCATGGGGGAGGGGGTGGCAACAAGGGCGCCCCGCCGTCAGGGCAGTGCTGGGGGCAGGAGCTGAGCTGCTCCTGTGCCTGCAGCTGGAGCCGCTGCGCACGACATGGGGCAGCCTGGCCCCACCGCTGGGCAACACGCGGTTGCACGTGGTCAAGCTGCTGGCCAGCGCCCTGAGCGCCAGCGATGCAGCCCTGACCCAGGAGCTCCTGGCGCTGGACGTGCCCAACACCCTTCTGGTACAGGGGCCAAAGGGCAGGAGGCGGAGGGGGCACTGTGCGGAGGGATGGTTGGGTGGGGAGGACGGGGACTGGGTGGGGGCCGCTCGAGCCAGCCTGTGCCCCTTACCCCCAGGACCTCTTCTTCCACTATGTGTTCAACAATTTCTTGCACGCCCAAGTGGAGGTGTGTGTGAGCACGATGCTGAGCTCTGGGCCTCCTTCCAACAGCAGCTCTGACACACCCGCCCAGAACCCTGTCGTGAAACACGTGAGTGGGGCTCCCAGGTCCCCCTTTGATCTCTGGGGGTGGGCTCTGCCCCACACCTGCCCCTCGCCTGTTGGGTGCTGCCAGGCCATTCATGTGCCGGGGACTGGGGGCTCAGCCTCTTCCTTAGGGCGAGAGTCTTGGAAAGTAGAGGGTGACCTGTGGGGGTGGGGATGAGTGGAGTGGTGACTTTGGGGGACAGTGGGTGTCCTGGGGGACCAGGAAGGGTCCTCCCAGGGTGATGGCCACCACGCTAGTGGAGATGCCTCTCTGGTTGTAGCCCGGGGCCTAGGGAGGAGCTGACCGGTGGGGCGCTGGGGGTTTGGACAAGCGGGAGTTGGAGGCAGGTGGAGTGGCTCTGGGGTTTGCTGGGTGGGCTGGGCGGGCGTCACACAGGCAGGCGGCGTTTGTGGGTGAGCAGAGGAGGAGCGTGCGCGTGCACACTCGCTGCACGCTCCTTGTAGGCAGACCAGGGGCTTGGAAGTGGGCTGGGGTAGCAGGGCCCAGCCGCGGCCCCCCCCCACGCCAGCCCCGCGCTGCCCGCAGCTGCTGCAGCAGTGCCGCCTGGTGGAGCGCATCCTGACCTCCTGGGAGGAGAACGACCGCGCGCAGTGAGCGAGCGAGCGCCGGGGCCTTCCCGGGGGGCGGGCGGGCGGGGCGGGGGTGCGTCCCGCCCCGGCCCCTCTCGCCCAGGTCCGCAGGGGGCCCTCGGAAAGGCTACATGGGCCACTTAACAAGGGTGGCCAACGCCCTGGCGCAGAACTCGGAGAAGGGGCCCAACGCCGAGCAGCTGGGGCAGCTGCTGAAGGGTGAGGGCTGGGGCTGACCCGGGGGCGGGAGGAGGCTGGGCGCCCGGGGCCTTGTGTCCTCACACCCCCCTTCCCCCAGCAGGGCTGCCAGAGGAGCAGCGGGAGCGGTGGGAGGTGTTCGTGTCGGGACCCCTGGCGGAGACCAACAAGAAGAACACGGTGGACCTGGTGAGGCCCCTGCACCCAGGCGCGCCCACGTCCGCCCTCGCGGGCGCTCCTCCTCCTGGCCCAGCCCGGACACGCCTCCCCACAGCCCCAGCTCGCGCGCGTCCTCTCTGGGGGCTCCGCAGGCCCTGACCCCTGCCCCGCCCCCACCCCCGCCGCCCAGGTGAACACCCACCACCTGCACTCCTCCAGCGACGACGAGGACGACAGGCTCAAGGAGTTCAACTTCCCGGAGGAGGCGGTGCTGCAGCAGGTG